CCTTCCAGTGCCCCTCACTCCTGACCCACAGCCCCCTGATCCCAAGCCATGCCCTTGTGAGCACAAGCACAGACTCCAGTGCCTTCAGGCCAGCCATGCAGCTCCCTGATACCTCTGAAGGCGGCAGGAGCCTCCCCAACCCTGCTGCAGCCCCAGACCTGGCCTGCCCCCTCCCTCCCAACCCCACACACACTGCCTCTCACAGACTTATCCGTATTCAGCCGCTCAGCTGCTCCCACCCCCTGCCTGGCTACATGCCCACCACATGTATGCATCCTGCCTCCAATCACCCTCCCCCCAGCCCCCAGCAGCCCCTTGCTAGGGCAAGCCGGGAAGTGCCAGGAAAAAAAACTTTGAAGCTGAGCTGACCAAACTTCTGGACATTCATGTAAATTTAAAAAAAAACCATCCCAGACCAAGACTGGAGGATCTAAACACAGGACATGTCTGGGAAAACCTAGACATATGGTAACCCTACTCATGTGTACACTCAACTCAGCAGCCTTGCTCCATGGGGATGCTCTCCTCCAAGAACAAGAGGGCTTTTGGTTCAGCCTGTGTTGGTGGGAAAGAGGTCATTTCCCCAGCCTGGGTTAAACTCTTGTCTGCTTAGGGCCTCAACAGAGCTTGGTGAAAGGCCCTGACCCAGCATTTTTTATGCCAGTGGCTTTGGAGCACTTTGGGAATTGCCAGGGAAATTGTTTGGTTCCTGTAATGGTTTTGGTTATAAAATGCTTGCTGTGTGAACCCTAGGCAGGGACTGGGGAAGGCTGGGCCCAGGCCCCTTTCAGCAGGGACAGCCATCTGCCTGCAGTGTGGCACCCAGCGAGTGCAACACACACAGAACAGCTCCACGGAGAGAAGCAGCTTTGTCTAAGGCATGTACTTGTGAGCCTGCAAAAGCTGTGCAGAGATGTCAGTGTCTTGAGCAGTGCTGGCTCTGCAGCCATTGCCTGGCCTCACACTACTCAGACAACAAGCTGTTGTGCACACTCAAGAGCAGGGTTGATGCTTATGCATTTACCAGCTTCCCTCAGACCCACTAAGTACTCACAGGCCACAAGGGCTCTGCTGGCATCTTCTCGCACCAGGCCCAATTCAAGTGAGTGGCCCCAGGCTTGGCTTTGGAATGCAGGCTGGCATGATAAGGTCCCAGATGCCATTTTGGGATGCTGGAAGCTCTGGCCTTGGCTGTACCCAGAACTACCTTTCCATCCCAGCACTGCTGCATGTTGATAGCAGCAGGTGGCATCTTTGTGCTAAGCCTCTAAGCTTGACTCCATCTCAAGCAGCCAGAACAACCAGAGGCAGAGCAGGGGCTAAGACACCTCAGCCCTGACTTCACCAGGCCTAACTTGTGGGAATGCCAGCCTGGCTGTGGCATCCCTGGGGACACTCAGGGCCAGCCTTAGTCACCTCTGTGCACCTTCTGCTTTTCTGGTCCCTGAGAGAGCAGTGGGGTGCAGCCAGCTCTGCCTTGGCTTTGCCGGATGAGCTGTGGTGGCCAGAGGGCATTTGTAGAAGGGCTGGGTGTGCTGAAGCCCTAATACAGCCCAACTGCTTCCTCAGCCTGATGAAGGGTGTTTGTACCCAAAAGCTTGCAAATAATTTTTGTAACTATTTTAATTGGTCTAATAAAAGATATCAGATTTACCCAAAGAAACTTGTCTACCTAACACAGCCCTGTTACTGTGTTAGGCAGAAAAGGTTCTGTGTTAGGTAGACAGCCAAAAATCTGGTTGGTCTAATAAAGAAATCATCTCTACTACAAGTCCTGATTGCCTTTACCTCTAGACCAATATGGCTACAACCTGGATACCTGACACATGGAAGTTATCAAATTTTAGCTGATTTTTTAAAATGAAATCTTCATATTTTCCCAAGCAGGAAGCAAGTGTGACCACCTGAAACCTGAGATCCTGCTCCTGCCTTTGTTTCAAGGTAATTTGCATCATCACAGATCCTCACACGAGGTGAGAGGCTCCATACCAGCTATGAACTGACTGCCCAGAGGAGTTTTCCCATCTATTGACTCCTCTGTGAAATCCTATGAAATATGAACTTTCATTTTTCCCCAGAACTTTTACAGTCTTTTCTCTAGTGCCTGATGAAGGGTGTTTGTGCCCAAAAGCTTGCAATTAAAGAATTGTTTTTGCAAAAATCTTGTTAGTCTAATAAAAGATATCAACTCTACTACAAGTCCTGATTAACACAGCCCTGGCATTTATACTGTACTGTGCGCAGTGTCTGGCATGGTGGGTCTTTGGCCGAGGGAAGCCTAGAGGTTAATCAGGACTTGTAGCAGAGACGATACCTCAGCCAAAGACCTATCATGCCAGACGCTGCACTCACAGGACAAAGCCACAGTCCCTCCCCACAGAACCCTGCTCTCTAGAAGTCAGCTACTCCCAAGACTTGGGTCAGAAGCATCACAGCAAGGCCGCTGTGAGTGGTGTGAGTAGCACTAGCCTCTGGTGGCTGTGTTCAAATCTGCCTTCAGAGGCAGCAAAAGCTGGTTTGGCACCTGAGCCCAGCAGATCAACATCAGGAACGTGACCAATGGCTTCAGCATGCAGAGTCTTTGCAAGGACTCAGAGCATGGAACAAAGGTGGCTGAGTTTGGGGGAGGGGGGCAGCCAGCAAAGGTGGTGTAATTGCAACCCACAAACAGACACTAAGATACCAAACAGGTCTAGGGAACAAGCAGCAACTTACCAGTGAATAGGGTGCCTTAGCTTTGCATATCTGCATGCAGCAGTGGAAAAGCAGCATGCTGGAGCTACCTGCTGACCATGAATGGTATTGCTGCCACTTTGGGTGCAACTAGCTCTGAGCAAATACCACCAGCCCAATGGTCTGTGTGCTCTAAAGTGTGATATGAATGCTTGCGCTGGGAGCCACCAAACCTCTCACTCCCTGCTGGATATGGGAAAGGGCTTTGTTTAATTTGAGATTTATTAGAGATTCGCAAATTCAGGGAGCAACAAAAGCTGCTGTTCATTTACAGACTAGATTCCAATGCCCTCAATGCAAGGAAAATAGAACCATTCCCACAGCAGTGACCCAGTCTACCTTATCAGCCTAAAGCCAGATGTGAGGGACCCAGCACACCGGGCACCTGGTGCTAAGGTGACACTAGGCAGGCAAGCTCTTCACCACAGCCCCAGAGCTGGAAAACAGTAACACATGCTCAGAGACTCCCCACACAGCAGTAACATCTCTGCTCAGGACTAGGGCTGTCGAATCTGGAGCAAAGCCCCATGGGACTGTAGCAGAGGACAAAGGTATAAACTCAGCAAGGAGAGAAATACATCTCAGCAGTAAAGTCTCCACAGAAGGCCACATGCACTGGTCAGAGCCTGCCCCATGTCCAGCCTGAACTCCCAGGTCTAGCCCATTGCCATCACCAAGGTACTCAGCCCTTAGGGCTGCAGGCACTTACAGACAATACAGCTCACATAGCTCAATCTGCCTTACCCTTTGCAGGCTGAGCTCTCTTCCCACTTCTTCACTTGGCTTAGGAACCAAGTAGCCATTACCAAGGGACAGGAGTGGGGTTAGCAGATACAAGGCCCCAGCACAGGCCTGGGGCAGTGCATGTGCTTTGACACTGGCAGCAACAACTCTGTGAGGTTGTTTCACCCTCCCCCATTTCAAGCTTTCACTGATGTTACCTGCAGACTGGGCAGTGATAGGGTCAGCTTTTCACCTGGGGCTTGGGCCAGCCACATGCCTGAGTATGGCCTGCTGCCTTCAGAAGCAGCTGAGAGGGAAAAGGGAGAGCTTCACATTGTGTCTTCAGGCCCCCTTTGAACAAAGACAAACCAGTCCTAGCCCAGCCTTTGCAAACTGGACAAAGGGGCTAGCCTGGCTCTAGAATCTGCTCAGTAGGTGCCTGTTTACAGTAAGAAGCTGCTGCTGTTGGAAAGCTATGACAATAGAAGGGGAATGGGGGTCTGGGGAACTGTATGTGGGGTTGCATTTTCTTTGTGGCTTTGAAAGCCCCAGAAGAGACTGAACTGACCTAAACTAAGCTGCTTTAAAGGCCACCTACTACAGAAAGAGGTTGATATCTCCTCTCCAGCTGTAATGTATAAGGGGACAGTTTTCCTTTAAACAGTTGTGAATACCACAACTGTGCACACTAGTGCACAAAGCTCTGGTTTGTACCTACTTGGATACAAGCAGTAAATCCCACCCTGCAGGTCACCATAGGGCTCTTAGAGGTTCTTCAAATTTACTACTGTTGTGTAAAGATTAAACCTGTGGAAAGTGCCACCCCAGCACTTGGAAATTCCCCACCTATATCCTTACCCAGCACATGTGGCACCTGCCTGGGCTGACTCAGGATGATAGACCAAGCAGGCAGGGCAGCCCAGGATCCATCCACAGCAGACACTACATGAGGCACATGTCCCTGACACTTTACACAGGGCTCATGGGGTCAGCACATGGGACAACTGGGCAGCCCCAGGGGCTGGATTATGGGACTCCGCAGGACAGATGCAGCTCATAGGCAACGTGCAACACCCCTGATCTAGCCCCTTGGGCTGCCACGCCTGCCCTGCTGAGCAATGCTTTGACTGGGGGAGGAAAAGAAGGGCAGCAGTGGCAGCTGAAGCAGCACTTGACTCATTGCACATTGGAGGTTTATTTGAAATAAACAGTTTTCCAATAAATTATGCAATTAAAAAATAGACAGAGCACAAGGTACTGGAGACCTCAACAGCTCTGCCAGTGCCCAGGGAAAGGAGGGGACAGTTGCTGCAGGACACAACCTGACAACAGCTTGCCATGAGGTACCCTGGCCTCTCTCTCTCCTGGCCAGGGGGAAGGGAGGGGGGGTAGGGACACGACAACCGTTCCTCCAGTCGCTTATTATGCAGCTGAGCCTAGTGGACTCCTCTCTCCCATGTACCAAGTTGCCTTTGGTTACGAGGTTCTATTTTTCCCCTCTCATGACTTGGCCCCAAGGCTCAGCCAACCATGCTCTGAACCCCAGAACTGAGCCCTGGGCTCTAAGCCAGCAGGTCTCTGCTTAGTGTTTCAGTAAAAGGCCAAGCACAGGCCTCAGTAATCCCCCTCAGTACCCTTCCCATGAGCCTCACACACACACACTGCTAAAAGAACCCCTGCCCCACCGCTACTGGGCTCAAACCCAGCTGCTCAGCCCTGCTGGGTTTTGTGATCACAGCCATGACTGAGTGCAAACTAACACAGCTTAAGGGCACCACTGGGAGTTGCCCAAAACAGGTAAGGCCCCTCCTTTCTCCATAGAGAAATGGCACATCCTTTCTCCATTAGCTCCCTCTTGTGGCTCAGCAGGGAAGTATCAGTGCCAAGATCTGGCATCTAGCTCTCTGGTCCTGTCCTCATTGACGGCTCCCCACTCCTGCCCTTTGGGCTGTATACAGTGCTGCAGGTAGCCACCAAACTCTGGGTCGAACAGGGCCTTGTACCAGCTGACTGGGTCTCTGTTACAGTAACAAGCACAGGGATGGCACAGATGGGAACCGTTCTCCTTGCTTGGGGAGGCAACGTGGGGTTAGGGATCCTAATGTCCATGTCAGCATGCCCAGACACTATGGCGGTGACAGCCACTGGATGCAAAACAGCAATACACCTCTTGACATGGCTGCAGCAAGCTGATGCCCTAACAGCCAATTCCACTGAGCTATCCCCATGACACAGCAATGCGTGTCGCTATGTGTGACTGTCACTCATGCAACTCATACACTCAGGAATCAGGAATTTCCACAGCTGAAGAAGCCTTCACCGCCCCCCACCAGAGCCTCTGCAAACACTGTCCCCACATGAGGCTGCCCATCATTCATCAGAGCTGCACTGGCACAGCCAGGAGAGAGCAGAGCCACAGCTCACTGCTCTTTCTGGGTCTGCTTTGCTACCATTTACTGGCAAGCCACACGGCAAAAATTGATATGCTGGGGGGAAGTAAGTGATGTGGAGGGGTGCCTGCTTCTGCAGGTGGAACAAAGGTCTGAACAGCTTGTTGTGCCAACACCACACAAAACAAAGGGGAGGACCATGCACTGCTAAAGGGAAAGAAACCAAATGTGTGGCCACAAGACATGCCCTGTCCGACACCAGGTCCAGAGCAAGGGAAGATGGTCCTGGTCAGCACAAGCACATTTAGAAAGGCCCCTGCACATAGGCTGCAAGAGACAAACACCAGTACACACAAACACACATACCAGTAGGGGCAAAGAGTGAAGCCCGGGCACTAGCAGGGCAACTCCAGGCCTTTGGAGAGCACACAGGCTCTGCTCTTCCAATAAATAGCTCCCCTGGCAGGGAAGGGACACAGTGGGGAAGACAAGCTTGTCTGAGAGGGTGGATGACATGAGCAATGCCAAGAACAGGTGGAAGGCCACAGAGCAAGGCCAAGACACCCACTGCATTGGCATAGCATTTGGGCACCAGGAAAATTGCCAGCAAATCCCTCAGAGAGCTGGGCCCCAGCCCAAATGCCTAACCTGTAAAGGGAGCAGCAGAGTTCTGGCTTGGGTAGTGTTGTGATGTGTGCCTGTACGGCAGCATGGTACAGGAGTGTGAAGGAAAGGCCACCTCCTTTATGACTGTAAACACAGTATTGAGTAGCTTCAAGCCTTCTGCCCTCAGGGCTCCAGGAAGGCTGGCTTCCTCAATGCCTATGGCATGGCTCCCACGCTTTGGCACCTCAGACAGACAGGGAAGTTACTCCTCATCCCCCCCAAGCAGAAAGCCGAGGAGGAAGCTGATGGCACGCTGGCGGTCTTGCGGCGTGTGTTTGAACATCAGGTTGGGTGGAGGCCGTAGGAGGAGACTGGTGAACAGGGTGGCTGCAGAGATAAAATCCTTCATTAGACACACAGGCAAGGACCTATGAGGGCACCAGTGAGAAGCACCATGTGCAAGGTGTGGTGAGTCAGTTAGGGCAGGCTGGACTCTTACCAATCATGTTGGCACTGACATTGTTGTCCTCTGAATACTTCAGGAGCTCTCGGAGGAATGCCATCAAGTACCGGAAGACGTTGCGGTGGCACCGGGGCAGCTGTGAGATCACCTGCAAAGGGGGAAAAAGATTCCCCATGAGTACACATCCCTCCCATGCCAGCAAAGCTCTACCAGAGCTCCTCTCATATGTCACTGCCCAACTGTGCTATGCCTCCTTGGACTGGCACAGAGCAGGGAGGGGCCATCATCATATGCCAAGCCCCACTATCCAGTGCTCAGCAGAAGGACTTTTGAGAACAGGTATCCTGCACCTTCCTCAGTCCTACCTTAGGTGCTCTAACACTTTTTTCGTTTTCAACCTTTTTTTGTCCCACGACACATTAGCAAAGAGCGATGGCTTGTCCCAACCCACACCCCACCGGCCCTGCTGGTGCCTGACCCAGTGTCCTGCCCCTGCTGCCCTGCTGTAGCCTCAGTATCTGGCCATCTTTCCTGTGCCAGCAGGCACCTGCCCCTCCCCACCCCCCCCAACACATGCACATAAACATGCACACACTGCCCCCGACAGTCCCCAAGCCCTAGCCCTCCAACCCTCGCTTCCTATACACTTACCTTCATCTGGCTCCTGGGGTTGTTCCCACGACCCTACCTGACTGTGTGCTGGCCACGCCCCAAGCAGCCCCTTGCAGGCTGGAATTCTGCCAGCCTGCAAGGGGAAACCCATGCTTT